AGACTATAGCTCAAATGGTGGCTTCCATGTTCTGTTGCATTCCTTGCCTGAAGCCCGATAAAAGCCAACATCTTGTATTTGTTCATTCCATCAACCCCTACGAGCAACCAACAGGATAGTCGTAGACCCTGGACCCTATGTATCCATATAAACAAACGAACCCCCAACTTCCATTTAATTTCCGTTGCTCTGTCCTTTAATGTCAGCAACAGTGGCGCCTGAAATGATGCATTGGTGTGGCGCCTCAACGCATAACTACGCTACCGCCAACCCAGATACCATACTTTAGGGTCCAAGTAAATCCCCTAAACCCACATGAGATGAATTCCTGGAAATTGAATCGGAAGTCCGAAGGTAGGCCTGAAAATTGTTACCCATCATTTGAGGCTTCCTTCTACACAGGGATCACAAAGTAAGGGAGTCCTGACCTGCAACGTGGGAGGTGAGATTTTCTACGTGGTCCTAACTTTCCTCATCGGCGCGGTGGTGCACAGTATCATTATTGGAGAGGCGAGGGGCAGTTGAAGGCTAAAGGATACGTAGGTCTCACTGGGGTTGCCCTTCTGCTGGGTTTCCGAAGATGATACCAAAAGGTCACACAATTCAGAGTATGAGCGCCAGAGCGCAAAAGGGACGGGATTCATCGCTTTAACACACAGGTTGCGGAAGGTCCCCGCAGTGAGTCCGGAAACTAGAAGCTGTGTCTCTATAATCGCCCAGAGAACCATACTAGACTCACGGGTGGGTGGTAGGGAATAAGGGAGTAGAATCCCATTCCATAGAATATGCAGTATCTCCTGATTGCCTACTCCCGACCAGTAAGGAGAAGGGATGCCCAAAACAGGCACCTGTTTTTCGTTGTGTCAGAGGTTTGAGAGTTTGTAGAATTTGGGGAAGCCCATAGGATGTGAACAGGAACGAGACTAAGTGTTGTGTGCAAAGCTCGAATTTTCCTACTTAGCAGCCTGGGTGAAGCCCATGTTTTTATGTACCTTCCGACCCCGACCCCCAATATGCCCAATACTAGTCCCTCTGGGCCCAAATAGTCACCAATGGGGGTTTGGCTTTGGGGGGGACTCCTGTGTGGCGGAGAGCCCTACACCCTAAACCCCCAACCNNAACCCCTAAGCCTTGAACCCTACACTCTACGATGGTGACTTGAGGACGCAGAGGAACATGAGACTTCACGGGGCCTCCCCACGCATCTAAAGCCAACTCCGTGATCTTCAATAGTGAATTGCACAATCCAAGTTGCTACAGAACGGGTACCAGCGTGACTATGTGTTGCAGTTGCTGTACTGGAGGGGCTTTTGTAGTGGCCGACTGGGCTGAAGTGGACCCCCGAGCTCATGCTAGACACGAAAAGAG